ACATGAATGGTCCCTATGCATGTAGATTCCTTGACTATGTCCCAAAAGGATGTAGGAGAGAGGTGGTCTGCAAAACAGCCTCTCCATAATATTTTGGAGGGAATCAAATAGATTGGATTAATGTGGGCCTTGTGTTGTTGTTGACTGTGGGCTTTCTGGCATGAGCCAATGCACGGAGCAAGCAAAAAACGTGCAAAGAGTGAGAATGGTCAGCATTACCATACCACTAACATCCAGTAACACTGTTAACTAAAAGCGGGAATGGAGAATTAGACTCACTGGATTTAGCTCCAGAAAACTGGGATCAAACTCTAATACTGTCACTTTTCACATACAGTCAAGAGTAAATTTAGCAATAATTCATGTTTAACACTTGGTGAAAACACAAGATCAAAGAACCCCTAAGGAATAGTCAGTGCATTTCAGACTGGTTATCCAAAGGATGACTCTATGGACATGACAGACAGAAAGAATTTGGATGCTGAACTTTTGAGTGAAAATACATTTTTTAATTATCCAATGGGCACAAAGTGTAGGATAAGTGTCCTGGGAAATTAAAAATTCATGGACTCAAGGATATTTATGCTGCCTTCATTAAGCCAAATCAATCACCATGAACAACATGGATGAGGCTGATAAAGCAAGGAGTTGGAACTTCAGGAGAGTGTGACTGTAAGCAAATGCACAGAATAGAAATGTACAGAGTTTGTTAGTGGCTTGAATAATAGAATTGTTTGAATATAAGATTGGGGTCCTCTTGTAGTACATGTAATCTATGTAAAGGACAATCACAGGGAAAACATCCCCCGGCAATACCAAGAATAATTGTGATTGTTTTTAAATCTTTAAAAGCTAACAGAGTAGCTGTGCTTATCTACCAGAACTTAAGAACTGGTATGAACCCAGATAAACGCCACTATATTGCTGGAAAGGAGAGTATCAAGATCCTTCTGGTAGCACATAACTATATGATTTAGGGCTCAAATTTACCACGTAATGCATAGAGTGTCTCACCCCCACTCTGACCCCTTTACATCAGTAAAAAGGCTGGAGCAACGCAAAGGGGCTCAAAAAGGCCTGTGAGAGAATTCCTCTGGCACAGGAAGTGAAGAAGACAGCTACAGGCTGTCATCTGAGGACCCTTTCGCAAGGTCTGACATAAAGGGGTTTGCCAGGGTGGGTCTGGAGGTGGGTGTTGGGGATGAAGCTACAGCACCTACAACTGTGAAGATTCTGTGCAGTGTTGCTGTCCATAGGCAGCCAGGGACAGGCTGCCATAACATAAACAGCCCCACAGCGCTGTCTAGGGCATGTCTACCCTGCCCCTCAGTTCAGACTGTGAATAGCAGTGTGCACTAAAGTGCTGCACAGTAACTCCCCAGTGTGGATGCTATGGGCACACTTCAAGTTCCAGAGTTTGCACTATGCCCAGCTTTGCCACTGGACTGCAGAGTGACCTTAGGCAATTCACATCATCTCCCTACATCTCCGGTTCCCCATCTGCAAAATACAGATAATGCTACTTACGGCCTTTGTAAAGTTCAGACTATGAAACAGTTTCCCAAGGGAAGTGGTGGAAGCTCTATTGGACAAAGTACTCAAGGATTGTACTATAGTAGAACAATCTTGAATAGGCAGGAGGAGAAATGATGCCTTAACAGGGCTATTCCACTTCTAGACTCTGTGATAAAACTATTACATTTAGATCTTAGTACTACTGCTTGTTACTGGCTTCCTTAAGCATTTTCATTATGTTTTTATGCTCTGTGGCTGGGCTAGTTGTTAATTTATTGGCATATGCCAAACTGTCATACATTGCTGCAGCGTTTATGTGTTGGGGTCAGATTTTTAAAAGCTGACCTCCAGTTTCATGCCCATAATTTGAAAGTACAATATTGTGGGTACAGTTAATGTCAGACATTGAAATGTCTCATTTATGGGCACAATGTGGTACTTCAGTATCTAACTGACATTAACTGTGCAATTACTTATGCCCACAAAAAGAGTGGCCGGGTTCAGGCCAGTCTTAAAACTTGGCTTTATATGAGAGTTTCAGAGAAGTCACATGATGTTAAGACTATTATGATTCTGAGAGATAATAACTTGGGGGTTAGGTTTCACAGGGGCTATGTTTGGTTCCCCCGTAGTGGCTGATGTCATTTATGAGTCATTGCTTGGAAGGAGGAATAGGGCCCCTTTGTCTATACCCTGTGGGGTTTGTTGGCTCAGAGGGCTAGGGATGCCATGAAAAGGTCAGTCAAATATTAATTGCCTTTCACATTTTAAATATTGCCAGTTGCTGGCTAATTAAGTAATCAGTTGACATGTGACCCCGAGACCAAATTCGGTCAAGTATTATCTATGTTTCTCTCCTGTTTTAACCTGCTTGCATTTTTGCACCATTCTAAATGGAATTCTTTGCCATCTTCCCTCCACAGTATGCTATGCTCTTTCATTTTCTCAAGGCCTTTGTGAGGGCACTAATGAATTCTTGTTAGTGTTTACTAATGTATATTCATTCTTTGTTATCCCTTGGAGAGGAGGATTAGTGAAATCACAGAACTTATTATTCCTGATACTGCTATATAATATTTATTGCTATTCAGTCCTTAATTCTGTAGTATGCCCCACCAACAAACAAAAACAAACAAACAGTGTATATATAAGCAAAAACTATGGGAAAAATTTTTAGCACAATGCACAGGAATAGTCATGGCTCACATAAGAATTGGACAGCTGCATTATTGCATGTTACAATAAAAATACGTTCACATAAATTTGAAATAATTCCTAATTTTCTGGGGAAGTTATAATTCCAATTTCATTTTGCTGAAGTGAAAGCAGCTCACTTGGACTAAGGAAGGATGTATTTTTTGGACTGGCTAGGATATTAATAGCCTTCCAATTATTTTAACATATTGGAAATGCTCCCAACATCTTTGTTAAAGAAACCTTAATCATTAAGGAGAAGTTTGTAAAATACACTTGAAGCATTCATGGTAAAGCTCTTAAAGGACTTTCCTATAAGGATATAATTCACCCAGGCTCCCAACACAGTTATAATTCGCAAAAAGAAAAGGAGTACTTGTGGCACCTTAGAGACTGTTAGACTAACATGGCTGCTACTCTGAAAACAGCTATAATTGAAATTTAGAGAGGCATGTCTTTACAATAGTTCTTCTTCAGTCTAGTGGGCTGAGGAGAAAGTGAAAATGGAATATGCATAAGAGTGTCTAAAAGTATTATAAACTGTGAAAGATACATGGACCCTGATCCTGCAACCACTTAGGCATGCAAGTAACTTCACACATGAGGCGCCAAGCCAAAGGGGCGGCGACGCGGTGGTGGTAGGAGGCGTGTGAAAGTTATTGTAATCCACTTGGTCAGTGTCCTTTATGTGTCCCCCTCACTGCTGGATCGACGGAGGAGATGCGTCTGTTGCAGACCCCAATAATACAACCTACCCTCTTTGGCTCAAGTTGTAAAAGCTTATACTTCCATGTTCTGGAGGTCCCTGGTTCAATCCCTGATGTCAGCCAAGATGGTGACTGTCACACTGTATTACATATCTTGAACCAGATGGAATTATTGCACCAGCAATGAACATGACCCATTCAGTGGAGCTGAAGTTAAGTGTTAAAAATTATTATCATGTGGTTTGACAAATTGACAGAGGATAGCATACTGCGGGCTGCCGGAGGCCTTTTTGAAATGCTTCAAAAAGTACTCTGTCTCCTGACATGGTATCTGGGGAACATCAGTTAATTTTATAGGCTCACGTTTCGGATCTATGTAATTCAATCTCAGAATTAAGCTATTGTATGAAAGAGGGGACTTGCTGGGCTTTCCAATTCACCAAATGGCTTTCCTTTCCGAAAAAAAAAAGACAATGCAGATTTCCCTGCACTCAGAGGGGGTTTGCTCAAAACTCCATTAATACTAAAGCTTAACTGAGATTTCTCCATCTTCAGCAAGACTATTTCCCTGTAATACTTGTTCCTCTGGTAACTATTTGGCATGGTGCCAGAAAAAGGACTGGAGGTTCCTACAGTGTCTAGGCTCTTGTACTTGCCAAAATACAAGCATTCCTTCACCACATTGATATACAACCTACCCTTTGGAATTGTGGGGTCTTTTTCATATCTATAAGAATAAATGGTAAAGACTGTAAGCTTCTCAGGGCAGCAGCCTAGCCGTATTCGGCTGTTAATTGACTTGCACCGTTATGGCCACATATATAGTGTGCAAGGCAATTAACGTCCGAATAAGATTAGGCTGCTAACCTGAGAAGCTTACAATCTTTACCATTTTTCTCAATATAATCACTCGTCAGCCTCCCAAAGGCAAAACTGTTAAATTCTTATGGTGCCCCCTCACCAAAAAATCCTATGGGACAAATCTTGCAGTAGCATTTCTCCTAAGTTAAAATACTTGCGTCAAACCAGACAGACAATCTCCATCAGATTTCAGAGTAACAGCCGTGTTAGTCTGTATTCGCAAAAAGAAAAGGAGTACTTGTGGCACCTTAGAGACTAACCAATTTATTTGAGCATGAGCTTTCACGAAAGCGAAAGCTCATGCTCAAATAAATTGGTTAGTCTCTAAGGTGCCACAAGTACTCCTTTTCTTTTTGCGAATCTCCATCAGAGCATGCTTCAAATGAAAATCAAAAGGTTGTTGTGTTTTACAAACTACCAGTGATAAAAAAACAACACCAGATTCCTAATTTTAATTCAGGGACAACAATTAGAATTCAAATATGGGATCTGGAAGTAAAGAGTTTGGGCTTCACTCACATAGGTATTCAGTCTCAGTTACCCTGAGAGATTTACCAACTGAAAATTCTGATCTCAGTTAACTCCAGTGTAAATCTGGAATAACTAAACTGCATCAATGAAGTAACTTCATATTTACACCAGTGGCTGTATGAATTTCTCCCACAGATTATTTTCTCCCATGAACTAGTAACTACAATGCAGTAAGACAACAACATGCCCTACCTGGCCATCTGCTGTCAAAATAAGGCTTAATGAGTTCTCCAAGTTTTGTCTTGTCTGCAACAGCTTCCTTTAGCAGTTGCCCGCAGCAAACTGAGAGGAAGGAGGAACAAAAAGACACAAGGTTAAATTTTAAAAAGGAAGCAAGCAAGAAAGAGAAAAAACCCAAGAAGCTGCATATTGGAAAAAGGTCACTGAATAAAATAAAAGTTGTGGGATTTTTTGGATTTTGGGGTTGGGTTTTTTTGGCCAGGCAAACCAAAAAGCAAAGAGATTGAGCAAGGGAGAATACTGAATAAAAAAGAATACTTTTGACAAGGAACATATTAAAAACGGACGCAGAGAGAAAGATACTAATCAAATACGTTACTAAAATAATAACTCAAGGGATAGCTGGTGGGGTTTTCACTTTTTATAAACTTATAATTACTGAATAAAGTTACACTTGCTGAACAGCATCTGAACAGTTCTGCTGGAGGTACTGGATAATATGCAGTTCAAGAAAGTGGCCCCTTGGATCATTTAACAATCATGTAAGAATTATGTTCATGAAACTGTATTAATGCAATATGATGGTTCAAAGTTCAAATAAGCAGAACATCATAAAATTTAGAATTAAGATACCAAATCAGGCCACTGCATATTAAATAACAATATTTGTACCTATATGGCACATTTCATCCCAGCAAATTAATTAAGCCTCATTACCCCTAAGCGAGTTAGATAAGTATTATCCTCATTTTACAGAGGGGTAAGCTAAGGCATGGAGACGTTCTGACTTGTATAAGGTCACACAAACTCCTGACTCCCAATCATCTGTGCTAAATACTAGATAACAATCCCTTTGTATGCACTATGGCAGGGGTAGATAACCTATGGCACGCATGCCAAAGGCGGCACACGAACTGATTTTCAGTGGCACTCACACTGCCCGGGTCCTGGCCAGCTCCGCTGCTGGGCGGGGTACCGGCTGTCGGCCCCATGTCACTTGGGGTTCCGTCCACTGGCTCTGCTCAGCCAGCTGCTGGCCCCAGGTCCTGGCCACCAGTCCTGGGGGCTCCGCAGCTGGCCTGGGGTACTGGCTGCCAGCCCCTGCCAGCCAGGGTTCCATCCACCGGCCCTGCTCAGCCTGCTGCTGGCCCCAGGTCCCAACTCGGGGGGCTCCGCTGTTGGCCTGGGGTCCCAGCTGCTGGGCCGGGCTCTGCAGCCATCCCCAGCTGTGGCCCACTGGCCCTAGCCTGGGGCAGTGAGGGATTCAGACAGGGGAAAGAGAGAGCACAGCTTAGCACCCCCACCTTAAAAATTGTTCCAGTGCCACTGTGCTGGGATATTTTTAAGTCCTGATTTGCTGCTTACATCACTATCACACCATGTGGAACCGCACACGGCATTTGACTTTGAGATTAGAATCTACATGCAAGAACTGGAATCGGAATTTTCTGACAGATTTCAAGATTTCCAGCAATTTGACCCAATGCTTTCTTTTTTGACTAAACCTGAAAAGTTCAACGAAAGCGATTTTATTTCAGTGGATGGATGCTGAAGATTTCGAAATGCAGCTCATTCAGTTAAAATGCTAAGAATTGTAGGCATCAAAGATTGGAGATCTGCAGAGTGCACTTGAAGCTACCGAGAGAGATCATGAGGCTTCTATTCTGACCTGCTGGACGTCCCTGCCAGTAAAATTTAACTGTTTGAAGAAAATTGTGTTTGCAATGCTTTCAGCATTTGGATCCACAAACCTGTGTTGAACAGGTATTTTCACACATGAAATCTGTTCTCTGTCCCTCTCGGAGCCGGTTAACAACTGATCACTCAGAAGCCTGTGTGCAGCTTAAAGTATCCAAATACATGCCAGATATTGGAAAACTCAGCAAGGAAAAGCAAGGGCAAGGATCACACTAAACTGATAAGATCTGCATTTTAATTTAATTTTAAATGAAGCTTCTTAAACCTTTTAAAAACCTTATTTACTTTACATACAACAATAGTTTAGTTATATATTATAGACTTATAGAAAGAGACTTTCTAAAAACGTTAAAATGTATTACTGGCACGTGAAACCTTAAATTTGAGTCAATAAATGAAGACTCAGCACACTGCTTCTGAAAGGCTGCCAACCCCTGCACTATGGCGTGGTCTTTCAGTACATGATGATGGGCCTGTTTTATGGAAAATAAAATGCAAATTGTATATCTAGATGAAATATTAAAATATTAAATCAAACTTTAGTCTATTCTTATAAAGTTCAGAAAAGTGTATAGAAATATACAAAATATGAAGAATTTAAAGAGAAAGTGTAACCAACCAATTTTATTTTTGATTAGTCAAATGACAGTCATTACTGCATTAAAGAATAAAGCTTTTGTTAAAATTAATAAAATATTTTAAAAAAATAAAGATACAATGTAACATAATGGAATTAACATACTTCAAGGTACAGTAAGGTTTTACTAATTCTATCTATAGATTTAATTTTTTTATTATACAGATTTAAAAATAAGGTTTCTTATCTTTTTTTAATTTTATTAGATAATGTTTGTTAATTATTTGTAGTGTATTTTCAGAAGCATTTAAGTAAAATGATAATTGTTCAAAATAAAAAAATACAGGGGCCAGATCCCCAACTGGCATAATTTCAACATAGCTTCATGACTTCAGTGGAGCTACACCAATTTATACCTGCTAAAGATCTGGACTGAAAATGTTTTCCTTTAATGGCAATGAGCTTAAGGAATGTATGAGCCCTCTCTTGCAATCCATACAGCGAACTCACACTGAATTCATTGCAGGTTCTGAGCACGTAGCACTTACAGGATTGGGCCATGACTAGGACTAGTGTAAATGTAGGACTGGTCAAAAATTTTCTGTCGAAACAGTTTTGACAGAAGAGAGGGTTTTTCAACAATATTTTTTTTTTTTTTTGCAAAAGGTGTCTACCTTCTGCAGAACAGTTTGAGTTTTTGTCAAAAAAATCAAAATCTAAAAATTATTTGTTTTCTGTCTAAAATTTTGGTTTGTTTTTTGACAAAAAGCCAAATTTTCCACAGCAATGTAGACAAATGTATTCTTTTGTTTTCATCAACATTTTTAATGACATTTTCTGATCTGTAATAACACAGGTAAGATCATTCAGTTCTTATTCACAAGAGTAATCTCACAGGATTGCTTTGCTGAGGGCCTGATCCAGCTCTCATTGAATTCTTTCAGTTGACTTCAGCAAGAGTTCAATTAAGTCCACAGGACTCGTCACATCAATATAGGAGGCAGGATCAGGCCTACTGCTGTCTTTTTTCCCTAAAACTTATTATTTCTGGTTATTATTGTAGGGTTTTGGGTGTTTAAAGCACACTAATGAAATCTGCTTAAATATTACTTGAAGGAGAAGAGCTGATCAGCTATGCAATTTTACATCACAATTCCAAAATATCTGCAGTTTTTCCAGTATTACATAATATTACACCATTATTACACATAATAAGACACTAAGAGTCTTCTTCCCATTTCAAAACCACTTTTCTTTTAAAAGCCTCCCAATACTGAGTAGACATCTGAAAGTGCAAAGTCATTATGCAAGACCCACTGATGCGATGGAGAATTCAGAGCACTACAGACTATTCACAGGAGTACCTCTGGTGTATAACACATGAAAAACTACTGATCTAAAGGGTATAAAAAATGATGACTAAAAAAAATGTTGGAGCTAGTTTGGCACAGGATATATGTTTTTATTGGTTAATATTTTTTTATTGCAAGATTTTCCAGCCCCCCCGCAAAAAGTTTGACATCCACAGTGATGGACTAACAGGGAAATTTTACGAGCGAGTAAGAAAGAAAGACAGCAAAAGATAAATGATCAAAAGGAGAGAAAGAGGGAATGGAGCAAAGTGCATATTTACTGAGAACTTACTGTTGACAATGCTGTATTTCTGAGCTATTAGTGCTGCCTGCAGGCTCTTCCCACTGCCTGGGGGTCCACAAAAGAGAATCCGTGGTGTAAAGGGGGCAGCTGATCGGCACCAGGTTTGGACATAGGTCAGAGCTAGAAAGATAACAGAAGGATAAGAAAGTTAGAAGCCTATAAAAAGAGTTAAAATCCATTTACTTTTGCTTTCTTAACAGAAACAATAATTGATGAATTTCTTTATTTATAACTATGACATTATCATCATTTATTTGTATTACATGAATTGAGATCAGGGCTCCAACATACCTGACATATTCTATCTGTAACTTACCATACTATGGTGACAGGCATTTTAGGAATCCTAGTATAGCTAAATTATACTTAGCACTTACATTGTGCCTTTCATCAGTGGATCTCAAAGCACTTTAAAGGAGAGATTCAATTACTAACTGCACTTTTACCATGCAATTTTTAACAGAAACCAGCTTTGCTTTTTAGCTACACTTACCATGCAAGCTGCAGGGGGATATCATTACATTTAATAGTTACGGTAGTTTCTAAACAAATAGATATGGTAATTATGAAAGAGGCAGGATATCAATTTGTCATGACACTTCCCCAGCTTCATATGTGATTAATGCCCCCCTATTTAGTATGTTTTAAATTTTTGTGGGACTAGTAAGTCATGACACAATATAGCATTGATGCCATATAATTACATAAAAAGAAAAGGAGTACTTGTGGCACCTTAGAGACTAACCAATTTATTTGAGCATGAGCTTTCGTGAGCCACAGCTCACTTCATACATGTGATTTTATTCTTGTGCACATAATTTTTGCATGAAGGGTAAAGACAACTTGATGTTCTCAGCCCAGCTCCACTCTCCCTGTTGGACACAGCTTAATTTTTGCTGATCTTGCTTTGTATTGGGTAGGAAACTATTAATTTTATATCAGTCTAGGGGCCCATCTCCTGGGAACTCTGAAAAGACCATAGACCTTGTAAAGAATAATTCAAATTGTTGCATTACAGTGATCCCAACTTTGCTGCAGTCCTAGAAGAAAAGTTGATAAGATAGGTCTGAAAGAAGGTACAGTAAGGTTTTGCTTGATAATGAAGATATTTTATCATCAGAATATTTGGAACACAGTCTGCCAATGCGTTGAGACCCTCAACTCCCATACTCCTTTCAGGATCAGGCCCTTGATGAACAAGACGAAGTAGATATACAATGTTGTTGTAGCCGTGTTGGTCCCAGGATATAAGAGAGGTAAGATATTACCTGTCCTACCTTGTCTCTCTAAAGAGAAATAGAAACATTTAAGCAAGACTCTAAATTTCCCATGTTACACAATACTGTATGGACTATGGAAGACACAACTGAATGTCTGAATGACTATTTCAGTCCAGACAACCTTAAATTCAAATAGATTCTATGACTCTCTGTGATACACACTATAATAGTCTAATAAAATGGGTACAAGAATCCAAATCTTAGACACTGATTTTCCCTTTAAGAGTAATCCCATATTTTAAACAAGTTCTCCTTCACTGCATTTGGCACTTTAAGGGATTGGTGCTTTAATCTAGCATTTTACGTGTTTTTGAGACACTAACGTATACTTGTTTAATGATCCCCCTTTGTGTCTGATTTCCAGATCCTTGTACCTCCTACTGTAGAAAAAAGTCAGAATAACACATTCCAGTTCTGACATTTCTAGCTCCTGAACTGGGAGTAGTTGCTAAGGAGCACTTGAATCATACTGAATCATAGTGCATGGGATACATTCCTTGCTCCCAAACCATGGTGAATGCTGTACAGCTGAGATCACTGAATATATTGGATGTGAGTCTGATCTCACACCAGAATAAATCAGAAGCAATTCCAATTAAGTCATTGGAGTTGCACTGGTGTCTAATTGGTGTGGGATCAGAACCAGACCCTCAGTTCCTAAAAATGTAATGAAGTTGCAATTTCTTGACTCCCTTTCTCACCCACATCTGTCATTAAACATACAAATCTTGAAAATCATAATCTGTCTATCACATAATTTATCCAAAAACAAATGTCAGCTAACCAAGGAGGGCTCTAGTTATTCTAAGCACTTTCCACAACCAGGGTATCCAAAAGCACAAACATTATTGGCAAACCATCCTGCTTACAAATGATGCTTAATTTGCAGTAAATAACCAAGTTAATTAGGAGTAATGATCCCCCAGACAGTCTCCACATCTAATTATTCCTTTAAAAAATATCTGGCTGCTTGATGCACTGCAGAAAAAGATCTAGAGAGGATTTTTTTTCATTCCAGTTTTCAATTTATCTCACTACATTATTAATTAATAATAATTAATATTCAGGCACTCAAATTTTTATTTACAATTCAATGCATGAATTATTTATGAATTATGATATGAACTTTTAAATTTAATTAAGTAATTTAGAGGTAATTAATGTGTAAATTCTGAATATAAACTTCCTAGTTGTTTATCTTAAAAGTGCAGCACTTGTCATTAAAAAAAGACCTTTTTGAGATGCAAAATTACAGGGCTATAATAGACCATCAACAGGCTGACAGATACAAAGTACATTATCACTTGGTCTTCCCGACAGTTTCCTCATTTTTTCATGAAGAATCGACATGCAATATCAGAATGCATCAAAGTAAAGTTGAACAAAAGCAAACAAAGCATTACCACATAGCAAACCTTTCAGTGCAGGCAACTTTTATATAATGAAATACAACCTGCCTTGAACGACCACTACTTGTTAATAGACTTGTGCAGGTAGTACCTGTACAAGAGACTAGCAGTGGTTCCAGTATGCGTACCAATATTGATACTGCAGGCTTTTATAACTGCAGCTCTAGGCTTCCCCATCACTTAGGAAATGATTCTGTAACCCTTACTCACATTCCATCCCCAATGGGACTACTCTTATGAGGAATTGCTATTCGTTGTGAGTAAGGGTTACAGAACCAAGACGACCTCCCATTCAACCATGCCTGTTCCAGCAAAGAAGCTGTCTGGAACAGCCCAAGCTCAGCAGGTTACAGGGAACACAATCAAATTAGAGGCAAATCAACACTGACTGATACAGGTGAGATCTTAGTCCTATAACTTGGCACACTTGTCTCTAAAGTTCGGGAGGACTTGTGGCACCTTAGAGACTAACAAATTTATTAGAACATAAGCTTTCGTGAGCTACACCGATGAAGTGAGCTTTAGCTCACGAAAGCTTACGCTCTATAAATTTGTTAGTCTCTAATGTGCCACAAGTCCTCCTTTTCTTTTTAGGGATACAGACTAACACGGCTGCTACTCTGAAACCTATCTAAAGTTTGGGAATCACTCTTTCAGATGAAAAAACAACAAGGAGTCCTTGTGGCACCTTAGAGACTAACAAATTTATTATAAAACCCACTGGCTAAAGCCCATGAAAGCTTATGCCCAAATAAATTTGTTAGTCTCCAAGATGCCAGAAGGACTCCTTGTTGTTTTTGCTGATACAGACTAACACGGCTACCTCTCTGAAATCTTTCAGATGAGAATTTGTCAGCTATCAAATTTCCTTCTAATTGTACATAATCGATATTTACCCTGGGAGAATACGTCTGCACAAGGTTGGTCGGCATTGATCAATTTTAATATTTGCTGATAGATCTGGAAAACTCTGGGAAAGTTTCTATGATATTCCAGCAGGTGCTTTGCAGTCTCCTGTTCAGATATGCCTTCTGCCTCCACCAAACGCTGTTGCACCAGAGGGTCGCTTGGCCAGTCAAAGGTGGTATGGTACACCTCTAGAAGTTAAACAGTAATTAGGACCCATTACGAAAAAGAATTTGATAGAACTTGTTCAGTTTGCAAAAAGGTTCCTCATCATAATCAAGGTCTAGATTGTACCAAGACCTTAGGTTGGGGCATAAGGAGAGGGGAAGCACAGTGATTCCTTCCTAACTACTACTGCATAGCTCCACAAAGAAGACAGATAGTGGCCGAGAGAACTAGCCAGCCATGTGACAATGCGGGGTAGGTATGTTTGTGTCCCTTAGTGCCCGCTACCACTACACACTGGGATCTCCAGAACAGATCTATGCCTATCTGGTAACATCAAGCCTTTAATTAAGAATACGAATAATACTTTGCACTTCCCTAGCACCTTCCACCTAATGATCAATAAACACTTTTAAGCATTAAAATATTGATTCTTATAGCACAGCTGTAAGGTAGGATATTATCCCTGTTTTCCAAATGGGGAGATGGAGGTGCAGAATGGTTGCCCACGGTTACACGAGAAGTCTGTGGCAGAGCTGGGAACCGGACTTAAATTTCCTGGCTCCTACCCTGAACTTTAACCAAGGCCTTTGTAGAAAAGCAAATAAAAGCCATCTCTTTAATTCAGCATGTCCTCCCAGTGCTACTCCTGAAACAACTGACATGGATTCCTGTGGAACATTCAAAGCGTGCCACCTGCAACATTGCCATTTCCTGTTGGCTCTCCCACTTGGCATCACACACAGTGGAGGTTATCCAAAGGTGTTACTGCCTTTTATGGAGAGGCAGACATTCAAGGTCTATCAAAGATGCCATGGTAAACAGTAAAATTCTTATGGTGTAACTACACATTAGGGTGACCTGTGCTGTAATACAGCAGTGCTGCTTGCCGCAAAACAGGTCTTTACAAATACTTTCCCCACTAAATTGGTGCAGAAAATGATATAAGTTGAATTTAAAACAACATCTGATTCAGAATTACATTGCCTACTCACATCGTAAAGGGACAGCAGTAAAAATCAACTTTAAAAGCATCAACACTTCAGTGTCTCTTGGGTTGACACAAAAATGTTCTCCTGATGGGATCAGTAACAAAAGCACACTACACCTTTCGTGGATGGATCAATCCTTTTCCCAAGGTTCCTCTCAATAAGCACAGTGTCTGGAGCATACAGCACGACTAAGCATAGAAGAAACAGAATAGAAATGCATTTTCAGTTAGTTACTGATTTCATTTCTTGGAGATGCTTCCAAGTGTGCTCTGCAAGTAAGGATGGATTGATGCAGTTCATCTACATTTAGCCATCTTCCCCATTTGTAGCATTTTTCCTTATTTGCCTGTATTTTACCTATGAACATTTGATTTTGGGGGAAAATTTTGGCCAAAACTATCAGTCAGGTGGCACTTTTAGGAAGAAATATATTGTGATAAATACATAGTTCAATTTAGTACATTCTGTGATGCAATAATCTTGCTTCTTTAATGGTCATTCACTTACTAAATTCAACTAATTTAGGCATGTGCATTCGATCTTGCAAAGTTCTTCTTCATTTATATTCTAATTAAGGGTGCTATTTTGTTCTTGATTATACCGATAAAATTGAGGAAAGAATTTGACCTTCAATACTGTTAGCTACCTTCAGAAATGACCATTTAAACACATGTACTACATACAAGTACTATCCAATATACATATTTTTCTAAACACTATCACAGTGATTCTGAATTCCTTTACTAACAGCGGAATTGTGTACAAATCAAATCCAAAGTAGCAAATTATCCTGTCTCTGCTGACTACAACTGGGGCTGGTTTATTACTCACACTTGAGCTGTGCAGTTTTTAAATCATATTCACAAGCCCCACCCTCACCCCAATTTTCATTTTTCTCATGTATTTTGGATAGGGCCCTATTTAATAATGACTTGGAAATGCAGACAGTCCGAAGGTGGGCAGGGCAGGTGCTAGGGTCTTGTCCTTTAAGGCCCTGCCACTATAGAATTATCTTTGCTTTGACTTACCCAAGATTCCACCTGTGGCATGAAAGGTCAGGCTTAAGACCTGGGTGTTTCCATTTCATTTTGTGTGTATTCAGTAAATTGTATTTATTATTCTATCATACAGAGGAATGGCTTGGGGGCTCTTTTAGATCCTTTTTGCTCCCAGGGATCAATTAAAGCAGAATCCTTGAGATTTGGGTCCTGAGGTCAGAGGAGGTTTAGACTCAATGGAGAGGCAGAGAGGCACAGCTGTTTGCAGTCACTTGCCAGAAGAGGCTTGAATTTTCTGGACTAGAGGAAGGTAGTGGGCTCCGAAGTGGTAAGAAGACAAAGGTTCATCTAGGTAAGGTGGGGTAAATAATTCAACAGACTGCCCCAAAGTTTCGGGGGGGGGGGGGATTTAGCCATTTTCTCCAGTCCAGTGACTGTTTCTGGTTTGCTCTGATCTCTTGGGCATGTTATACGCATTTAAGAAATACTGGTTTTAACATTTTAAGGTGTTTTTGTTTAGGTCAGTAGTGGCTTTCGCCTCTGGCACACAAAACAATCTTGTATTTCTTACCAACATGTCTCGGAGTGATGCCAGCTAACTGCAGCATCCATGCTTGGTCCCGGTTTTCAGGAAAGCCTTCCAAAATCCAACCCTATTGCACAAAAAACATGAAAGAATTATTGATCTAAACAGAGGGAATCTTAACAATTAAATCCTATGACTAAAAATCCCATTTGTTGAACACAGACTATCTGATTCTGATCTCATATCAGTGTAAATCAGGAATAAGTCATGCATTTAGACCAGGGCTTCCCAAATGTTTCCAGAAAATGTACCCATTTCCCAGACATTTGAATCTCCTTCTACCTCTCTGAAACACAGAGTTATCTCACCTGCTCAGACAAAAACAATTGTAACCTCATTTCATTCTTTCCTAGTGGACAAGTTCAACCTATGAAATATTTTTAGAAGAGATTTAGGATCATAATCTTATACTGACCCTAAAACAAGGGGAGGATTTGGATAATGAACATATTCAGAGTACTCATCCAAGAAATTGTTTAGTACAATCCATACAAACCTCTTAAATGAATGACTGATGAAGACTCTTCCAACACTGAGCTCATCTATGGAATATCATAATCACTTCCAGTGAGTGGAGGTAGTTATAAGTTTGATGTTTTGAAAGCTTGATAGTTTCAGTACTGGGCACTTTTGAGATTTTTGAGTGTCAAGAAGATTTAATTACATCTACAGATCACTGGAGACCCAATTCTGTAAGGCGTCAAGAGCACTTGATTCTCAGTCCATTCAAATCAATGGGATTTAAGGACATAGCACACACACACACCTCCTCCAGGATTGAGCCCTTGGTAATATTGCTAGTTACATCAAGTTATTACCTCTTGAATATTTATCTGGATAAAGCCTGGATCCTTGGATCTGACTGAGATATGCTCAACACAGGACATGAGAAGGTGGAGAGGCAACTGGGGGCCAGTTCATACTCTGCATGTGTCAGAGCAGCCTCAGCACTGCTCTAGTTTATGGTGTAAATGCCAGGTGGGGATATTTGGGGTATACCATGTTCTTTCCAAGCGCACTGCCCCGACATAACCCTATATGGGGGTGGGGGTGGATTTTAGATGTTAGAACAGACTAGTTGTAAACCAGTCTGGAATTCCTCTTTGCTGGGGGGAATCTTCAGATGTCATTTTAGGGCAGCTTTACGGCCCCTTTATGCCAGCAGAGTTGTACAATGGGGTCATAGCATGGGCCAAGGTCTGGCTCTAAATGCCTAGTTCTTATTGCCTTGTGGTTCATCTTTTTTCTAGAAAGCTGATCTCTTAACATTTCTATAGGATACATAAAGTTAGGGTGCAGTGAGCTGGGGACTGGCTAAATGCAAATGAATTTATCCAGATTTATTTCTATTTTGCCATATTTTAGATCATTTATGTGATTAACTTTTTTCCTAATTTTGGATAGTTTAAAAAAATATTACATTTATGGAAGATTTTGGTACATGATAAACTGCAAATAAAGCCATCTTTCAGTTGACTGCACTTCCAATTCCTATTGAAGATTATATACCATCTTCCTCCTCACTCATTGTATGATTCATTAAGTTCACATAGTATTATAAATAATATAAATTAAACTTAAAGAGACACCACCAAAAATTAGCAGCAGATGTTAAAAAATAATTTCACATGTTAACACCATCATCTCAATTTATTACAACTGAAATAATTTCTTAAATCAAATGTACTTTTCACCACTTGAACTATTAGCACTCAGCTTGGGCAGTGAAATCAGACAGGTCAAATTATTATCCCCATTTATCAGACAGGAAAACTGAGGAACAGAGCAGTGAAGTGACTTGCTCAAGTTCAGACAGGGAATCAGAGGAGGTAACAGGAACCAGATCTCTTCACTTCTTGTCCTGTGCTTTAGCTGCAATATCATCCTTTCTCCTTTATTTAAGGTAGAATTCACACCCACATCCGCCCAAAGCCCAAGAAATCAGAATTGATGTGAACCATTAAGCAGGCATTAAGGAGATATAACATTTACACATCCCAATCTGCAGGCAGACCAGGGCATTGCAATGCAGTCCCTCTAAAGTGGTTACTCCAGCTTTCTGCAGAGGGTAGTCCACCCCTCCACAATACAGATGTGATGCCCCTTTGCCTGCACACAAAGTTTTGCCTCAAAATGGGACCTTGTACTCAGTACCAAAAATGAATTTCATCCAGCAGGGAGAAAAGCATCTCAATGACCTAGAGCATAAGATGTGTTCTACTGTGGATGTTTGGGAGAAAAGAAACTGACCATTTGCAGTGTTGAATATGTCGGAAAATGACATGCACTAATAACATCACCACAGTAAAATGGACACTTACATATTCTACTCGTGATTTATTTTTAAAGTTTCAATCTAAAAAACCTAAAAGGATACAAACAAATGTCTTCTTTCTTGAAAAAACAAAACAAAAGGCAAAAATACCCTCAAACAGCACAAACCCACCACTACAATTTTGAAATATTCAAAATTCAAAATATTCAAGCCACACCATGGATTAAAAAAAAGAGAAACTAAACAAATCTAAAGAGCAATGAGCACTGAAGAAAATATGCACTCTTTCATTATTTTCTTAAATTATACAGGAAAACTCATAGTAATGGAAACCTACTTCCCATAGCTAATGAAGCAACAGAGCAAAAGAAAGAAAATCCTTTTGCTCCCTTAAGTCCTTGTTATAGCCAGATAAGTGTTGGACTGAACGTCTTAAAAAAAGAAGCATTTACAGATCTATGAAATACCACAGGAGTGCTGCAGCATTACTCAATTTCTATGTGATGCAGTATCTGAAATCTACCTCTCTTATGTCTCCTGAGTCTAAATCTGCTAAACTTTGTCTAAATTTCTCTCTGTTAGTTGTTTAGCTGAACAAGTGCTTGTCACTGTACTCCCAATAACTTTCTGAGGTGGTAAGGAAGCTGAAAGAACATATCTTTGTATGAAAAAAGACATTTTAATACTGTATTGCATTAGCTAGCAATCATCGTCATCTCCCACATAAATCTGAAGCTCTGTCACTATGGGGTACAAAGATTTTAGAATTATTTCAGCTAAACATACCTCAGTGACTTTTGTAGGAGGAAATCCAGGCATTCTAATTACACAAGAAAATAGAGTAGACTACTTAAAATTCCCTAATTACTCCGATTTCACTCATATGCCATCCTGCAGTTATCTGAGGACAATAAAAAAAGACTCCAGTAACTGCAAGCCATATTTTGCCACTCCCAGTGTTTGCTTTATCAAATTAGGATGAACCACTGAATAAGGTCACACAGGTGCTAAAAAATCAGTTTTTCCCTTGAGAGTTACCAAGGAGAGAAAACAGAAATAGGTTCCACGGTGTTTTAGCAGTATGTTAGGATCCTAGGCATTGTAAATGTGATCTGTTCAGTCATACATGTGAAACTGAGTCCTGTACCCACAGTCGGCCAGATCCTAAGATGGTGTAAATGAGCATAACACCTCCGACATCAATACAGCTATGCCAATTTACACCAGTTGAGGACCTGACCCACTATCTCCATTCCTAGTTTAATATTCTTTGGAATCCAAACTAAACAACATATTACAAGCTTTCTGGTGCCAGGGCAGTTTAGAAGCATTACAGCTCAAAAGCAAATACTTGGCAATGAACAAAAGATAGAGGATGATCTTTTTAACAAGATGCAACACACTTTAGAAGATTCACATACAATTATACAAATGCCAAAGTCCCTTAAAGCAGATCGCATACAATTTAATGGCTAAAAGTTTAAGGAAGAAATCATAGCTCAGTGAATAGCTGCGTGTAACAAATATATTTTAAGTCACTAAACAAATACATAATAAATAAACCCTATATAAATAGTTAGCTTTTTGGATCTTATTTCCAAGGTCTCTGAATTCTGAGGTACCAATAGTCCCTAATTAGAATATATTATCCATCTACTTGACACTTCAGTGAAATGTCTATTCTACCACAGAGTTGGAGCTTTGTTCAGAGCAGGTTTATTGATATTCTGATGCATTCCCTCTCCATACCCCCAGTGGCTTGGTTCTGTTTTATCACACATCAAAAAGGCCGTATGCTCAGGGCACCCCATGCACAGCTCAGAGCTGGAGGTCTGAACAGCTGCAAGTAGTATGGTATCACAGGAGGGACAAGCTCCAAGCAGATGTCACAAATAAAAAAAGAAAAAGACAGTAAAAAGGGAGTGTGGCTTGGGAACTAAGCAAGAAGTAGCAACATACAGCAGAGCAAGACCTGACTTAAAATATGCCTATCGTGCTTTATGCAAACACCGGTCTTTTCTGCCCTCCTGACTATCATTAAAGTGTAATTAGTAACTTCACTTGATAAGAATGTGTTTCTTTATGAAGCCATCTATTTTCTCTTCTTGATAACAATAACCTCCAGGCATCCAAGCATGGGCAGCACATCCTCACGTCTAGCCGTGAATAAAAGCTAGGATCCTGAGGATTCCATAATGCTTCATTCTGGGGCCATCATCTACTCCCCACAACTGGACCCTCAAATCCCCTCCAACTTAAAGACAGTGATAAATGCAGCATTCAGCTCTTGCCTTAAGGTCAGGTAAAGTGCTCCTTGGAGACCTATCTCACTGTGTAAATCAGCAGCAATGAGGTATTTGTACAGATATCACCTAACTCCTTCAAATTCAAGCAATCTGAAGCAGACAAAACCCAAGGTCATTCTCAAACATGGGTGTCCTTTGCTACAGTGCAGTATTGCTATCAACCTATCTGTGACTGACACCTTCCACCCAAATAATAGTTACACTGACACTCAGCTTTCTTTTGTTAGTGTTTGGCCTGAGCATCCTCAAAACTCATTACAAAAATAGAAAGCTATTTACACAGATAGGGTTAGAACGAGGCAAAGAGTGAAGAAATGCAGAAAATCAACACTCAATCACATTAGACTTGAGAAAGAATTCTCAGCCACAGGCCCACAGCTTTGGAATGCCCTTTCACAAAAGATTAGAAAGCCCACAAATCTTGTTGCCTTCAGAACAAAATGTCTCCACCATTGTTTTCCCACAACATTCAGATTTTTTAAAAAT